GGTACCTCAGAAAAGTGAGGGGTTGGAACTTACCATTTAGTTCTATGTGAAGTACCCGGGGATTTGGAGTTTGGGGGAGAAAGAGGTATTGGAAAGGTAAGAGTGCACGATGAGGCCCCTGGGTTTAATTGCAAAGATTTGTAAGTACTTTCAGAGCTTAAACTAAGTCACTCATTCTGAAATCATGGAGAAGTGGAGTCTGGAAACCTGGGTTGAATTTGTGGTTCCTGTGTTACTTGTTGGATGACTTTGGGCAAATCATTCAATTTACTCAATTTTGAACCATATTTACTCCCCTTCTGCTACATTTTTACATTCTACTTCATCAGCATTAATCTTAAAATATATCTTTCAAAACTGGTATATACTTGAGCTATCTCCTACAGGCACAGAAGATGGTCTGTTCTTGCCATACCTTCCAATTAAGCCATTTAAGAGCCGAGTGGTTAGAGTATTCTATTTTTTGGTGTCCACATCATGTTTGATATATGCTTCTCTACATTGTTGGTACTATATTTTTAAATTTCATGTTCTCTTAAGATTTAATTAGCAGCGCAAACAGTTGACTTAGTTCTGTATGTTGTTGCTAAAGGTTGTATTGTCTTTGAGGTCATAGAAGTGAGGGCTGAGAGTATGGTTTTGCAACAAGCTAAGGGAAGCATTTCTGTAAAGGTCTAGAATAGTCAGAAGCATACCTTAGGGACCTAATTTTTCAATTTTCTAGGACAAAAAAAACCCAAATTTTCTCCCATATGGTGTGTTTCCATGTGTGAGCCTACCCTTTTTCTGATTTCCTGGTTTAGCCTTTTTCCTTTCTTTTCTTTGTAGCACCTGCTTACAGTTTTAGCTTCCGCAGCTTCTTCCTCCAAGTCTTTTCAGCTTCTCCTTTCAGTGTTATCTCAATTTCTCAAACTGAGCTTCTGGATGAGAGAATGATTAGTTAAGTACCTCTTTCCCACCAGGCATATCACTGGTTCACGGCCCCTCGATGGGTGAATGGTCTTGGGTCCCTGACCCACAAAGGATCTCCACAGGCCCCTGTGGGAGGCAGTGTGGTTTATTATGGCAGTTTCTTTGGCTGTCATGAAAAATGATACACCCAGTATGAACTCACGAAATACACAAGAAGGTTGGATTCTGGTGTGGGTTGGTGGTCCATGTTTTAGTGGGGAATGAAGGTTATTTTGATTTTGTACAAAAATAGAAGATTTTGTGGGCATTCAAATACCTATTCTGCTGACCTGTGCATCACAGGTCAGCAGAATAGGTATTGGAGTGATTTGAGCATTATCTGTTGGAAAGGGTTTTCAGCTCTCATCCACCATGCGATAACTAAGTAAAGAACTACAGGGAGAGAGGAGGCAGATACAGCTCAATAGGAATTTGAACAATTACCTGCAGAGAGAAAAGAACAGCTCTGTAGAGAGAACCAGCATGTAGCCTGTTTGTATAACAACATGATGTTTTAAAAAGACAGGTAAATGAATCAATTTTTAAATCACTCTGGAATTTTGAGTAGAGTTTTCTCTAATAATCTTGACTTACTGAATAACTTTTGCCATATTCCTCCCCCAAATCTCTTCCTCATAGGTAGAAGAAGAAATCCAGACTCTGTCTCAGGTGTTAGCAGCAAAAGAGAAGCATCTAGCAGAGATCAAGCGGAAACTTGGAATCAATTCACTACAGGAACTAAAACAGAACATTGCCAAAGGGTGGCAAGATGTGACGGCAACATCTGCGTATGTTCCCTCAATACATTTTTCTAGACAACATGAAGGACATTTCTGTACTTTTTCTTTGGGGAAGGGAAGAGAAAGGGGATGAGGACACTTGGATAGCTTTTATTTAAATCCCACAGAGCACTTTCTTTCTGTTTCTCTGTTATAACTTTGGTTTTTCTAACTGTTTTAGGGAATAGAAATAAAAACAGCCTCATATGCAAGTTGAAAAAAACAAAATTCAAATTCAAGAAGGCTATACAATAGTCCTCCTTTACCATAGTTGTTTCCTGAGGTTTCAGTTTCTTATAGTCAACTATACTCTGAGAATATTAAATGAAAAAATTCTAGAAATAAATAATAAGTTTTAAATTGCATGCCCTTCTGAGTAGCATGATAAAATCTCTTGCTGTCTAGCAAAGGAAACAATTAGATGTAAGAGATAACCTACTGAATAGGAGAAAATCTTTGCTAGCTACTCTTCTGATAGGATTAATATCTAGAATATATAAAGCATACAAAAAACTTTAATAAGCAAAATAACCCCATTAATAAAAGGGCAAATGAATTAAACAGACACTTCTCCAAAAAAGAATACAAATGGCCAATAAATATATGAAAAAAAATGTTCATCATTAGCAATAAGGGAAATGCACATCAAAACTACACTGAGTTTTCATCTCACATCAGTCAGATGACAGTCATCAAGAATACAAATAATAATAAATGCTGGGGAGGATGTGGAGAAAAAGGAATACTTTTACACTGTTGGTGAGATTATAAATTAGTACAACTGCTATGGAAATCAGTGTGGAGATTCCTGAAAAGACTAGGCATGGAACCACCATATGGTCTAGTTCTATCACTTCTTGGTATTTGTCCTAAAGAATTAAAAGTCTTCACACTACAGTGGTATATGTATACTCATGTTTATAGCAGCACAATTCACATAGCCAAACTATGGAACCAGCTGAGGTGTCCATCAATGAATGGATAAAGAAGAGTTTTATTTAGTCATAAAAAAAGAAATTATGTTATTTGCAGGAAAATGGGTATAGCTAGAGACCATTATGTTAAGCAAAATAAGTCAAACTCAGAAAGTTAAGGGTCATATGTTTTCTATCATATGTGGAAGCTAGACAGGAAAAAGAGGGGGAGGATCTCATGAAAATCAAAGGGAAGATCAGTAGAAGAAAGGGACTGAGGGAGTTGGGGAAGGAAGAGGGAAGTGCTGGGGAGTGATTTTGGCCAAATTATACTGTTATATTGTGTGTTGTATGCATGTATGAGTATGTAACAGCAAATACCATCATCGTGTACAACTATAATGCACCAATTAAAAACATGAGAGGAAAAATATTTTCCCTCCATTAGGTACTTCCAGAAATCATTAAAAAAACAAACAAAAAACCCAAAAAACTCATGCTATCCTGCTTTGGACACAAATCATCCCCTTTGTCCAGTGTATTCATGTTGAATATGCTACCAAGTCACTTAGAAGCCACATTGGAGAAAACAGTATATACAGAGCTTGTGAGATCTGTGGTTTTATGCATACACTGATGGTCTTGGAACGTGTATTGCCATCAGATTAGGGAGGGGACTACTGTATATTGACTTTCCAAATATATATATAGTGTCGTTTAGTCCTCAGAATAAGTCATTAGGGTATTGGTAAGACAACCCTAGATAAGGAAATAGGCCCAGATAAGTGAAGTTTTGAGGTCACACACCTCTCAAAATGTTGGGTCAGGACTCAAAGTCTGGACAACTATACAGCCAGTCCTTTTTATTTTTTAGCCTGCTTGTATGTATCATAAGATTCTCGGATCAGTCTCTTCTATGTGCTCATAACAGAGACCAGTTCTTTGAGATGTGTCTTTGATCATACAAGTTCTGATATAGCATTATCATAGTGCAGTTTTCTTTCTTGTCACAAGGAGGAGCAAACTTCTAGCGAGGGATTTAAACTGTTGTCTTATCTTTTGTATCTCTGCAACTGCTGACCAGGTGAGCTAGGAGTTGTTTACAGCTTAGCCATCATTGGTGAGGCCAGCTGCTTTTGACCTGATGGTACTTGCCCACTCTTGGTCCATTTCCATTCATATTAGTTGGCAGTGGGAAAACACAAAGGAAACTAGTCTTTGACTGCATTATCATGAACAATGTTTGTTCCTGGTATTTGATCTTGATGGGGTAAGAAAAAATGCCTGAGGGGCTGGGCTTGTAGCTTAGTGGTTGAGCTCTTGTTTCACATTCGTGAGGCCCTGGGTTCGATTCTCAGCACCACATAAAAATAAATAAATAAGAATAAAGACATTGTGTCCATCTACAACTAAAAATATATTTTTAAAAAATGCCTGAGCATTCATTTCCACAGTGGGGATCTTAACCTTTGTGGTAGGTACCATACTCTTTTTGTTGTTTGTTTTTCTAATCTTAGGTGGCTGGGAAGAGAGGGGATGGTAACTTAACCCTTTCTGGTACAATATCACCCTAGAGTCATTTTAAGTGTTGCATCTTTTACATACTCTGTTGAGGGTTCAACAAGTCCTTACTTGGTAGCTGTACAGATGGGAAAAATTTTAAAAAAATATGCTCATAAAATTTGTTTAGATAATAAAATATACAAGGGCTCTACTGAACCTGACCTACTTTTTGCTTTTGAGCCTGGTTTTATTTGCTTTAACTACGTGAGATAACGGTGTAAAAGGCATTTGAACAATTTGATTTCATTTCGGCTCATTTTCATTTTGCTACTATTTGAAACACTTCCCTTGGATTCTGTGGGCCTTCTGTAATAAGCCTCTGCCTTTCTGTCTGGATGAGGGTGCTACAGGAAACTGCCGGAAATGATGGCTCAGACTGTGATGTGATTGTTGCTGCCCTGGTATTAGGAAGGATTTTAGAAGTTTTTAAAGATATTTTATTTTGAGGGGCTAGAGTTGTGACTCAGTTGTAGAGGGTTGTCTAGCACATGTGAAGCACTAGATTTGATCCTCGGCGTCACATAAAAATAAATAAAGGCATTGTGTTCATATACAGCTAAAAAAATAAAAGATAAAAAAGATACTATTAAAAAAAGATATTTGAGAGTCCTTCAGTAGATGGTGACCACTGCCTTGAAATAATGTTAGAAAATGTTAACTGACTTTTTTTTTTTTTTAATAATTGGACATAGATATAAGAAGACGTCTGAAACCCTGTCTCAGGCTGGACAGAAGGCTTCTGCTGCATTGTCATCTGTTGGCTCAGTCATCACCAGAAAGCTGGAAGATGTAAAGTATGTCTGCATTTTTCCTTGCTCACTAAGTAGCTCAGGCAGATTGAAATGCTCTTGTGATTGCTTTTGTTTCCCAACTTTGGCTCAAGATGATGCTGAATTCTCTCCTCTGATCGAGTGAGGGAGGGTGCTCTCTCCAGCCAGGACCTAAAAAGTTTACATAAAATTCTGACTTCAAAATGATCACCTTATGAATCTGTTAAAAGTTGTTGAGAAATTCTGGTTGCAAACTTTTGTGTTTTTTAGTCCTCCTTCATTTTACAGGGTGGTAAGTATGTCCCTGGTGGTTGCAAATTTGTGATTGTGGGCAGAGCCTGGTGCCTTTCTGGGGATGAGTACAAGAACATTGACATGCACGCTTGGATTGAGACCCAGCTTTACGTTCTGAATGTGACCATGGTGTGATTGCAACAGGCTGATTTGTGCAGTGATGCGTACTAACTTGTAAGCTGTACCTACATTCATGCTTAGGCCCAAATCTTGATTTTTGAGCTGTTGCTTTTTATTTTGCATTTGTATTTGAGATTAGTTTGCAGATATTTTTCTTGTCATTTTGATAAAACCACTTCATAGTGCTTTTGTGCCTCCCTGTACCCATGTGGATTAGAGTAGTGCTGAAGATGACAAACATGGTTTATATCAGCTGTGCTTTCTGTTGGCATGCAAAATTTGTGATAAAAAAAAAAAAAGCTCAGATTGCATGACTTTGTGTTTTTTGTTTGTGGAGAAAGTAGATTTTACAACCAGAATTTTGTTAGTTGAATAGGTTTGGTCAGTTAAGGTATTATATACTTTGTATCAAAATAACTAAGTTCCTGGCTCATTGTATTTGGAGTATTGTAAATCTAAGCTTAATGTAATAAGCATAGTTTTCTTGACCCCTTTTACACATATGTGTGTGTTATATATATACATACGTTTATTAGATGCTCTCTCTTCTTTTTATGCTGATTGAATGGTGTAGCATTTTAGGGCCCAGGTAAAACATCATATGACTTTTTAAAAGTAGGTTATTTAATTGTTCTAGATTTATCAGTACTTCCTTTCTTTTTTAATGCTTACTCTGGCTTCTTACAGATTGCAAGCTTTTTCACATTCCTTTAGGTAAGGAGAGTTTGAACCATCACTGCAGTCTAGCAGTCATGTAAGACAAGTGTGCTAAGATGAGATTATTCAGCCACGTTGAATAGTCATGTTTGTCCACTACATAATTTTCTTGCATTTGCAATATCTTTTTCCTCTAGTGCATTTCTAATTTTAAAGGGAGGGTTTCTTGTATACCATGAGTAATGGATAAATTAAAAGAAGAATTTGACACTGTGGTTCAAGGGATATGGAAATGGTTTTGAAGTTTCTTTTTTAATTTTTTTTTTGTAAAAAGAAGCAGTCTTACCATGGCATGCAGAATTCCTCCCTTTTAATGTCTGACTTTGTTTGTTTGTTTTTGATGCTTTTGGTTCTTTGGTGCTTTTGTAAGGATGTTGGAATTCTCCTTCACCTGGGTTCCATTATGTAATTATAATAGACTGCATATGTACTGCCTCGTGTTAAGTCCTCTGTCTTATATGAGCAACTCTACTTTCTTATGTGTTTGTTAAAATAAACATAAGAATTTTTTTTTACCATTACTTCACACTTTTTAATACTTGTTTTACTAGCTTACAGTTTTTACCATTTTATTACCCCAGTTATATTCTTTATGCACCAAAGCAATTTCATGATTTGCAAAGGAAAAAGTGTATTAGTCTAAAACAGAAAGCTCATTTAAAAGATGTTAGCTCAGGTCATGCCTTATAGGAGTACTTGTGATGTTGAGCAAACCTTTCTTCTCTCCCAGGCAGACTCTGATAATCCAGTCAGGTGTGGGAAGAAAACAAAAGTGGAGGGAGATCTTTAGAGTGTCAGCAGGAAGGATAATATAGTAGTTTCCATTTCTGTTACAGCAGATTGTCTTCTCAAGCATCACTGTTGTGATCTAGCTATAATAGGCCTTCTTAAATAAGCAAATGGATACTTAATAGCTCAGATTTTGGTGACACTTAGTCCTAGAAGTGAGGGATGTACAGACTCTAAATGTTGAAATCTTTAAAGCAAAAAATTATGTGTTAAAAAAATCAAGTCACTAGCTAGGTGCAGTGGCACATGCCTATAATCTCATTGACCCAGGAGGCTGAGGCAGGAGGATTGCATGTTTGAGCCTAACTTCAGCAATTTAGTGAGACTCTAAGCAACTTAGTCTCAAAATAAAAAATAGAAAGGGTGGGGAGGTAGCTCAGTGGTAAAGCACCCCTGGATTCAACCCTCAATACAAAAAAAAAATTAAAAATCAAGTCACCAGTAATAGGAGGTGATTTTATATCTTTGGAGTTCAGTAAAAAAATGGTGTAGGGGCTGGGGCTGTAGCTCAGTTGGGAGAGTGCTTGCCTTGCATGCACAAGGCCCTGGGTTCAATCCCCGGCACCATATTTTAAAAAATGGCCTAAATATTATAGGCCACTGAGTAAGCATTTAGTTATATAATTCATTCTGCTAACTTGAGGTTACCTGCTGTGGGCAGATCCTAAGGTTATAACTATAAAACAGACAAGGCAGTTATTAAAATAGAGCTTAAAATTTTTGAGTCAAATGAGGTAAGGAGAAGGGGACTTGGGATGCATTTAAGAATGGAAGACTCTGTAAGTATTTGATTAAAGAATGTTAGGTGTGATATAGATGTAAACTATAAGAACATGCAAGGGCTCTAGAGAAATGATATGTTTCATCTGTACTTATCACTATTATTTTTCTGCATCTTTAGAAATATCAAGTAGATGGATCTAGGTATCTAGTCTTATTTTTAATGACTATACTGTGTATCAATATGTGGATGTTAAGTAAATCTTTTGATTAAAAGATTAATAATATTAATTAATATTAATAATATCTTATGTCTCTCATTATTAATAATACTTGGAATGAGAGACATAAGATACTGACAAATCTTTGTAATTAATTCTTAACAGACCAAAAGTTGGATAACCTGCCCTCACTTTTTGGTGGTACTGGGAGTTGAACCCAGGGGCACTCTACTGCTAAACCACACCCCAAGTCCTTTTAATTTTTTGAGACAAGGTCTTGCTAAATTCCCAGGCTGGCCTTGGAATCCTCCTATAATCCCAAGTAGGTGGGATTACAGGTGTGCACCAGTCACTTAATCTGATGGAGTGTGTTAAGATGTATGAAGAAAAACTACATCTTTGAGATCAAGTGGGTCACAGAGGCAAATACTAGCCACAGGAACTGTCCAAGGAGAGGGAGCTAGATTGTAGAGTTGAGTGCTCCAATTTCAGCAACAAGGCCCCTTACCACCAGGGATAGATGCAGGAAGCTCCTTTGGGCAACTGCTTGGTTAATTCAGTTAACTGTTCCAAATCTGTATTTCTGGAAAATTTAGGCCAGTGATTTCACTCTTAAATGTAATTACAAATACAGAAGGAGAAATGTACCTAGTTTTGCCAACTTGAAGGTATTAGAGTCAACTACGGTTTTAATTTTACAGAGTCATCTAATTATCTCTTAAAGTTTAGATATTTGTCATACTTTGATTAGGGGAAAAGAGGAGAGGAGAAAGAGAGAGAGGGAAAATGAGGGAGATGGAGAGGAAAGAGAAGGAGGTAGAGAGAGATGGAGGGGGTAGGGGGAGTGAGTAAGAGAGAAGGAATGATGATATGAATATCTGTTTTATGCTTTGAGAATGAGGGCCCAGCAGGGTGGCTAAGGGTCAGGTAGGACAAGATAATGAGAACTGTCCTGGGGAACTTCTGGGGACAGCCAGCTTTCCCCCAGGTGCTGTATGCATTTCCACCACTCTCCTGTTTGCTTACTATTTATACATACATGTAAGTATTGACTCATGCTTTTACAATTTCAAGATAAACTTTAAAAGAACAGTTCTTCAGTGCTACTGTTAAACATAAGTTTCATTGTTACAAATAGTATAACTGTATTTATTTAGTAGCATGTTGCTCTATTTTTGATACATTTAAGAGGAAGTGCTAAATCATTTTGCCTTCATTTTCAAAGGGAATTGCTTCTTTTAAAATGTTTCTTCATGTATATGATAGATATTTTTTTGTTCTGTTAAAATCATTCAAGATAAGTCACTTTTGCTGAAAATTTCTACCGCTTAGTGAAAAAGAAATGTCTCTTTTTAGAAAGAGAATACCCTTTGATTAGACTTTGAAACACTATAATAACTTTTCTACCTTTCATACCTCTACTTCCCAATTTTAGTTAACAAAATTGTTTATTCCTCGATTCTTTCATTTAGAAGTATTTATTGAGTGCTGTGTATTGAGTACTGTTCTGGACTGTAGAGTCAAAGCTAATGAATGAAATAACTATGAAATTTGAAAACTTTGAGAGAGGACATTTAGCACAAAGTAGATGCTGATTTGTGTTTCAACTCAAATCATCCATTATAATAATGGTTAAAGAGTTTATGCCTCGCAAAGCTATGGATTGAGCTTCTGAAGTAATTGCGGGTATTGCTTTCATACTGCAGCTGGGAGGAATCTGCCCCAAGGGGAGATTGATTTCGGCAGGGTTGGCAAGCAAGTGTGAGTAACTGATGGTCCGGATTTGACCCCAGGACACCCTAGATCTGAAACTGGCACTCTCAACTGTGCCTCCCCAGAGGTGTGATAGTTTGAGATGGTTTCTCTAGGCATTGCTCAGAAGTAACTCTTCCATTGCCTACATGAAGACATTGTTGGGGGCAAAATGGCGTAATCATGTGCAGACGGCTCTTACAAGCCTGCCTGGCTGAAAGTATTCTAACACGCCCGCATCTCCTCTTCCTTCTCTTTCTGCACTTACTGTATCCTTCCCCCACCCCACCATCTGCCCCTCCACCCCTAGTTAATAAGATGAAAAGTTCAAAATAACTGTGTAAGAAATCAGAAAAAAAATTAAAATCAGTTTAGCTATTTTAAAAAAATTATCTTTTGGGGGCTGGGGATATAGCTCAGTTGGTAGAGTGCTTGCCCTGCATACACAAGGCCTGGGTTCAATCCCCAGCACCACCAAAAAAAAAAAAAAAAAAAAAAAATGAATAACCTTTTCACAGTAGGAGTAAATTTGAGATTAGAAAGTATTTAGTGAGAATCAGGTTGCCCTGTGACTTTTTTTTTTCTTCTTCTCAGTGTGTTTTGAGAAACACAGCTTTGTATTTCTACTTTGATAATATATTTGATGGTTACAAATCAAGGTGGGAAAGTTTGCTATAGATGCTAACTGATCTTTACAGCCTATGAGATGATTCTGGTCTAATAGCACCCTGGCATTTTGCTTTTGAAGGTTTCCACATTATGTTTAACCTTGGATGAAATTTTAAGTTGAAGCAGTTGAAGCTTTTGTTAACTTTCCATAGAGAAGCCCAAATGAGAGAGCTGCTGCCCCCTGGATTACAGACTATCTAAAAAAAAAAAAAAAGGATAGAATTTCATCTAAATTTGGATGGTAGAGAAGACCAGATAATTGGATGGAATTGAAGCTGGTGTGTGCTCCTTGTTCTTCCTACTGAAATGGCTACCTCAAAGGCAGAGAAGCCTCAACTATAACCCTATCTCTATTAATTGATTTCATTTTGTTTAATGGGTACATCTAAAAATCCTTTTACTGTGAAATACAATGCACACAGAGAATTGCTCAAATTGCTCAAATAAAATTCAGTTCAGTGATTTTCACAAATAAACCTTACTTAGTCAGATTGCTTCCTTTCTCTTTCTTACATATTACCACTGAAGAACATTGTCGGTTTCTGCTGGTTAATGGGACTGAGAAACCAGCTGTCTGCTGATAAGATCAGTGACTACAATTAGCTGTGAATTTTTAAAATTTGTACTTACCTTATTCACTTATTTCCTCAGCCCGTTGATACTGTAGAATTCAGTGTATGTCCCGTGGACTGTTTATCCGGGTTTGGCCATCCCTTGCCTTCTGTCACCAGAATTTGATAGTTTCTGCCATAATGCGTGTTCTAGTGAAGATCTGGTTGCATGGAACAGAAAACTATCTGTTAGTTCATCTTAAATGGAGACTGGGTTGCACAGATTAAAAAAAAAATTTTTTTTGTGATCCACAGAGAGGAAAGGAAATAAGTCCAGGCCCCAATCAAGGCAGTCCTGCTTTATTGGAAATGGGTTAGAAATTAGGATAACTTCTAGAAACCGAGGAAACCAGTTCCTCCTCAACCCTGTCCTGTTCCCTCATGGTCTTCTCTCCTTGTTACCTCTAACTGTGCTTAGGCTTGATTCCTTCTTTGGGAACAGGCTTCCTGTGCTTGAAGCTTTCCCCTTGTCTCAAAGAAGTCTTTGTTAGTATTTAAGTCGATGTGACTTTCTGGCTGAAGTAACTGCCAGTAACTGAACCAGAAGCTGACTTTGAATCTTTTAACCCCCTGCCCTATTCAGTCCAAACAGTCTGTGGCTCACAGGAGGTTAGGTGTGGGCTCTGCTCCCTGGCCCAGTTATCATATGACTTATGGTGGAAGGTGGTTTGTGGCAGTGTGGCTGTTCTAGGCAGTTTCTTTAGAAGGATGAGGTGAGGGGCAGGTGATGACTGGAGTTCTGGTGTGGGGAATTTAGAAGGATGCTTATCATCAATCTCTGTCCCCCAAATATGGAAGCAATAAACTTCAGATCAAGTAGGAAAAGGACTAGTAAATGCCTTCCAGAGTATATTATAGTCCTTTAGGCCAACATATCAACCACCATTGTAGGATGGAGAGAATACTCAGTTAAATGGATCTTTTCCTGTGTTACCTAAGATATCAAGTACAGAGATGTCCAAATATTTTATTGATTATCTTGATTACACAAACTTTCAGAACATTTTGATGTATTTTAAAATAGTAACTATATTACACATGAATACAATACTAGATTTGAGGAGCTGCATTTAAAACACATTATCATTTGTTAACAACCGAGTCTCAGAGAAAACCAAATCATAAACACACAAAATACTTAAATATAATTGAGTCTTGCTACCTTGAGGGGTTCACTTTATCCAAAGGAAAGTTTATTTATGTAAAAAAAAAAGCTGTTCCAGTGGTCAAAATTATGTATATGGTAACAGTAAGAGCAGATTGCAATGATTTTAAAATCCTAGGAATAAAGGTACTTTAAGCATATGGAGAGATCTCTGGGAAATGACTAAAAATAGATACCCTTGAACCTGTACAGTTACTCAGATGCCTTCCTTGAGTAGAAGCTGGACCTAGTAAGACAGAGAACCAAATTTTATTTGTCCTTTTAGAAGCATTCAATTTAATTGGGATGAGTATAAGCATCTCTTATTACAAAATGGGTACTGTTGTTTCTGAGGAGTGATATGTAATTTTAAAATCACTTAAAGTTGTCAGGTAATTTATTTTGAAACCTACCTGTTCTAGCCTGGGGACAAATACCTGAGAGAAAGGGGGCTGCAGGGCCTTTTACTGGCCTCACTTGTGTATTTGTGCGTGTGCTTCATTTTTGAGGGGAGGTGGTAAACATTGAATTAAGAGTCCCTGAGACCCAAGTTCATTCTTAATTTTGCCATGACCTTGGGTAAACCATCTTACTTCTGAGCCTCTGTAAGATTATGCACCTTACAGATCCAGGTGAGAGTATAGTTTCAAAGTCTGATAAAAATGCAAGGTTGTATTATTAGTTGTAATAATGATTGGGATTAATTGGTTTATGAGTAAAAGTAAATTATGTTGGAATAACTTTGATCCCCTCCACCTCAAAAAGCAGATACTTCTTCATGGTGCCAAAAGAATAAAGCTATAAAGCTTAAGTTTTGTTGGCTTTTTATATGTTGAATCACCCCTATATACTAACTTCATTTCTATCTCTTTTTAATGCTGCCTCTTAGTATACGCTCCATTCAACATTCAATTAGCATGCCTGCTATGAGGTAAAGTATATTTTTACAAAGTGTAGTTGGTATTATGCTTTCTGGTGCTTGTTTAAATGTTTAACCTGAACTCTTCTGAGGCAGGGATCTAGAATTCTACTCTTAACAAGCTATGTGTTTAACACTGTATCAGTCTTCAGTTACTCTTACAGTGTTTGCATGGGTACAAGAGATCCATTAAATGTTTGAGTTAAAAAGGAGTTTCTCTTTTATTTTATAAAGCCTTTATGTTGTTTATAAGTGAACGCTACTCTCTAAAGAACCTTCTGTTCAAGGGTATAGCTGGCCTACCTCCTTTGTGAGCATTAGCCTTCATTACACTCCCCTTTTCTCCCATTCAACTCATCTTTGCTTCCCTCGTCCCAGTGTGATGTTGGGAGACAACTGTGATTAATTCTACTGTCTGTTTTCTTCAGTGAGCACTCGAAGTAGTACATGTTGTTCTCTTTTCTGAACCCTCTAGAGAAGCAGAGGATTTTAAAAATGTCTGCTTGGTGTGTATTGGAATCTCCCAGAGGGCTTGTTAACTCTGCTTGCTGGGCCCACTCCTAGAGTTTCTGCTTCTGTAGAGCTGGGGTGGGACTATGGGTTTGCATTACCCACAAGTTCTGCAAAGTTGTGGACCCAACTGTTGTGGGGGCCACACTTTGAGAACCATTGGCTTACCTTGGTCTATTAACACCACTGTGAGAAGGAGGAAGCTCCTGGTTTCCTTCTCTGCCTTTTCATCTTGATAGGAGGATATTCAAGGTCTAGTATATAGGATAAAAATTGTGGAAACCCATGGGTGAGATAAAGTGCTGCAATCCTTAATTAGTGTGGGTCAGTGTGACTGTGCCTACAAAGCTTCCCTGGGGCTCAGAGGCTATCAGGTGGGGCAACTTGTTAAGTATCAAAGTCAAGTTTCTGTGCTCCTCCCCTCCTCTTGGACCCTCCTTTCCCTATCTGTGGTGCTGCTCCCTGGATATTAGGATCCTTGTTGTAGAACCCCACGGATCTGCTTTTCCTGAATGGGTGGTATTGGACTCCTGCCAGGTAGGAAGTGAATATAATCAAGAATTCTAGAGTCTAGTATCTTTACCAAAATTAAACTAATCTAATGGTGGCATTTTCTTGAATTGTGACACGTTGATTGGGGAAGTGACAGACTTGATGTTTTACCTGGTTTGTTCCCACTTCTCTCACATGTACTGGATTTTTTCTGTATCACTTTGTCTAAATGTGATATAGACTCAAAATCATGGACTCAAAATCAGACTTGTAAAAATATTAGCTCGGGAATTGGTAATCTTACATAAAAATATTTGTGTATATATCTGCACACATGTACATATAAATATATCTGTTATTTTGCTCACTGAGAATAATGGTAAAGAGGAATATGGTCAGCTAATAGTACTCAAAACTGTTGAGTTTTTTCAGTGTTTATAATTTAACTATTTTTTTCCCTCCCTAGAAACTCTCCAACTTTCAAATCATTTGAAGAAAAGGTTGAAAACTTAAAGGCAAGTACAAAGGTGAACAGGGTCTTTGTAACAAATTGCATGTGCCTTAACTTTCTTTGGTGTGGGCAAATCATTTGCATCTGTATTTTTTTTTTTTGGTTGTAGATGGACACAATACCTTTATTTTATTTTACTTATTTATTTTTATGTGGTGTGGAACATTGATCCCAGTGCCTCACATGTGCTAGGCCAGTGCTGTAGCACTGAGCTACAAACCAGCCCTTTTAAAATTATTTTTATTTTTCGTACTGGGGATTTAACCCAGGGGTACTCTACCTCTGAGCTACATGAGAGCCCTTTTTATTTTGTTTTTGAGACAGGGTCTCAAAATAAGTCACTGAGGGTTTTGCTAAATTGCTGAGGCTGGCCTTGAAATTGTGATTCTCTTCCTCAACCATCCAAGTCACTGAGATTACAGATGTGTACTACCATGCCTAGCTTTTTTTTTTTTTAATTAAAAAAACAAAAACCTTTAAGAACCATACTCTTTATGCTATTAATGGATATTTCAAGAGTTATGTAACTCTTTTAACCAATATGTTTTGAGGGTATGTTATAGCATAGTAGCATGCTAAATGCTGAAAGGATTTAGAAATTTAAAAATTTGTGCTGCTTTTTGCTTTATTCATTTTAAATAAAAATATACTATAAATTTATTGTAGTTAACAATATAGAAGGCACAAAAATTTTTTAAAACTTGGTGTTACTACCCAGAGACAGTAATGTACACACACACACACAATGCTGTTATACCTTAAAATGGATGTTGTTTTTTAGTTCTTCATTATTGGGCATTCTATTTTTATTTTATTATAGTGATGCCATGATGATTGTCATTTACTGTTCACTGTTTTGCATTATCTCAAAGATTATATTAAAAAGAAAATCATCAGTTCTTAGAATCACAAGTGACCTGAAATGTCATATAATTTATATGCACTGCCTGACTTGCTCTAGTTTGTATGATGGCTATGTGTTCATTGCTTCCTAACTTAATTCTGATAATTATAGTGGCATCTTTGAAGGGTTAAAACCAATATCTTAATGAGCATAAAAGCTATTATTTAGTCTTTCAGAACTTTAACAATGTCACTCATTCTTAAATCATCTTTTAAAAATTATATAGCCAGGGTATATTTATTGAAAGAAAATCAATTGCTGCATAGTGATCTGGATTTTTTTCCCCCTTGCACATACTAACATTAGCACACACCTTTTCTGTTTGTATGCACATACCATGAATGTTTTCCAGAGGCACAGTATACACACAGCTTATTTATTCAAAATCCACCAGTATGGTGCTCTGTGAACTCATAATGATAGGGTCCTGTTCTTTCTGTTCTTTGAACTTCTCAGTGGCCTAGAATAATGCTTTGCACATTGCTCAGTATGCATTTGATGAATAAAAAATACATCATTCTTCTAAATCTGTACAAGAGACCTGCTTAGTTTTTGAAATGGCTAGCAAGCACAGATACATCAATGTGGAAAAGCGAGAACTGACATGTTATGTATAAAGGTTTTGAAAAGCATAAAATACTGTATAAATGTATATGATTTCAAACATATTTATTGACAATTTCAGTTTAGATAGGCTAGAGTAGTGTTTCACAAACAGAATGTACACATGAATCACCAGGATCCTATAAAAATGTAATTTCAGTTTTGTGGTTGGAATTGGGGTGGGGAAGAGTATGTGTCTGAAATTTTGCATTTCTGACAAGCTCCCAGATGATGTTGAGTCTGCAGGGCCTTGAAGCGCACGTTAAGTAGTAAAGGGCTGACATGCTTACACTGTAGCTGGAAAAAATACATATATTATCTTTTATTTATTTTGCTCAGTATTTCTTCAGTAAGTGGAGCTGAATGAAGAACTGAATGTAATACAAAATGTTTATCAAGCAGCAAGAGTTCAGTAGATACTTTATATTTTTCAGTAGATATTTTAGAATAGGCTTTACAAAGTTCTTTAAACAAAATTTCCTTTGAAGAATAGTTAGTTGATGGGGCTGGGGCAAGGGTAGAATTTACCACCCTGCATGTTACAACAGTACTAAATTATATATATATATATCACTGAGCTACCAGGTTCTTGACTTATTTGTT